AGTTTTTATAATTCAAAAAAATATATTTTACTTAAAATAGGTTAACAACCTTTAATACTTTAACAGTATAACTTGAGGTTTCTATTTAAAAATGTCTTAATAATTTTGTCATTGTATTATGTAATATAAATATTGAATACATATTACACGTGATATTAAACCTATTTTATTATTAACATTAACTTTTATGACGAACAGATGATGCTTAGTTTTTTTTTTTTATTAGTTTATTAATGTCAAGTACCTACTTATCAATAACATAAATTATATTACATAGCCTTTTCATTGAAATAATCACAATTTTTATTTGTCTATTCTTTAAATATTTTTAATAAATACATTTGAATTCTAATTTTAAATCAATTCATATCAATTCATACATATAAAATTAGGTAGGTAATAATCGTTCACACTCAAAACTAAATTGGTATTATTTTTTAAATTAATTTTTAAAGATACTTTATAACTCCGTGTAAGATAGATAAGAAATCAATTCATCCAGAAAGTAATTTACATACACAAACAAAATTACATATTGTTCTAAAGAAATATTTAATCTATTAGTTGAGCTATAAGCCTCGAGTATATTGATGAATATATATATTTTACAATTTTTCATATATTTATTTTATTTATATTTATATTAATATGTTTAAATGCATTAATAATAATTTAAGATATGAATATTTCATAAATTACGAATTTTAATAATAATACTAAATAAAGTGTTTATTTCATTCGGACGTTTTGGAGTACAATATTTTATAACAGACAAATATTAATATTCGTAATGTAAAACATAATTATAACCTATAGATACTCTTATAGCAAGTGGCTAACATGCTTTACAAGTACTACAGGTACTATATTTGCATCCAACATTCATATGTCCATTCTAACCAATAATAGTAAATTTTAACAATAGAACTGACTTTTCATAAAGTACAGTTTGATCTACCAAAGATAAAAAAAAACTTACTTAAGTATACAGAGATTACTTTTTCTTTTATAATAGTATCACCATGACCGTAGCCAAAAAATAAAATAATATAGTTTTAACTGTCCAATTAATACATGAGTTTTAATATTATACTAAGTTATTTATATTACAAAATATACATGTAAGTAAGTAATTTATAAAGAAATTGTGTCATATAATAATCATAAGGTTCTATAAATATATAGTTATTGGCCATTGATTATAGGTAATTACTAAATTACATTATGGCTTAATGATTTGTGGAACACAATGATGCTAATTGCAGTGAAATCACAATTTAAAATATAAAAAACAACAATTGACTAATTAGCATATTATATTATAAAATATATCACATTGATTATATTACATAATCATATTAGTCCAGTCAATAAAGTTTTGCCTCGATTACTGCAGTAAATACTATTAAGTCTAGAAACATGGCTGAAAGTTTCGTCTTTGAGTTCTGATTAACCGAAAAAAGTCAACATCTTATTATTTTCATATCTAATAAAAGATTCCTTATTCAATTTTAAACTAATTTCTCATAAGTAGCTTATGTTATAACTAAAAAATCAGAAAGTAAAATATACATACATAATTATTTTTCATAGACATTTGAAATTTCAATCTGGACAAAATAATAAATTTAAAAATAAAAAATAATTTTAATTATCAAAAATATTATTTGTAAGGTCTTGACGTTTTTACATATACTATGAATATTACTTTATGTAAAATATATCGATTGACTTTTACGTTTTACATCATTACTTATTCATAGGTTTATACCACGAACCTAGTCACACTGTTTTATAATAAAGCGATATTAACTCAACATCTAATAACAATAATATAATATAATGAATGTATATATCAATATATAATGAAATACTAATAAATAGTCATAAATTCGATGTTTACAGAAAAAATTAAATCATCCTACTGTAAAATCAACAGTAAAATAAATTACTTTAATAGCAGTAGATAACAATATCAATAAACATCTCATGAAACTTAGTATAATACATATACTTAATAACATATAAAGTGACAGGCCATCTTCGTTTAGAATTGTTTTTAAAAACTAACTCGTTTATCGTTTACGATAATTTAATATCATTGAATTCAAATTTAACACATCCAATACACTCGACACTTACGTTATACTGCAGAGCAATGCCCACTTTCTTGTTCTTATCGATTTAATTAATGTTATCTATTAAATTATATTATATATTTTCAGATAGAACAATGAATCTAAATGGTATTTTTGAGAGGTGAAAATTTAAAATTCTAGTACTCATCAAAATAATCGGGATGACGTGAATTTTTACGCTAAACCAGTTTCTGACAAAATCAATTTTATGTTTTTATTTTTTTAATGTAGTTAACTCAAAAACAAATAAACACATATACTTTATTAATTAATTGTCACCAAATATTCATAACAGAATTTTATTAATATTTGTACATGATAAAATGTAGTTATATAAAAATATTTTACTCTTCTTGAGCTAAGTTGAGATATAAAAAATATTTAGTTTTTTTTTTTTTTTAATTACTATTGATAAGAAACTCAAATAAAAAGCATTTAAATAAAAAACCCTTAACATTATTAATAATAAGTCTTATCATTGATATTTAAGATTATTAAACATATATAGGCAAACTTTGGTTTTATAAGCATGTCAAGTTCAAATTTTTGACAAAATCATCGAAATCACCAAAACTTGCAAATTATTTCATAGCAAATAATTTATAAAATGTAAAATTTTTATAACTAAGATTCAAACATTTTAATACGAGGTTGCTTATAAGTTTTTCTAATTGAAACCAAAAAAATGTTTACTTTAATTGTTTTCATAAACCATTAAAGTTAACATTTGAGCGAGTTTACAGACTTAAATAAAGTATAACAATACTAAATTTATTCTTGGGACTTAACACTTTTTCATACCTAATACATTTTACTACGCGTAATAAAATTTTCAAAATATTTAAATTTATTTTAATCTATTACCTATTTATACCAAGTATCACGGAAGTTAATAACATTAATACATAGATATGATATAAATATTAAATGTACAATATCATTATAATAATATAAGACATAAAATGTAATAATAACAAATGCAATATTTTCATCGAAAATAAAATAGAACTACCGTACCTAATACTATAAAAGCAAGGTAAATCGCTCAATTATGATGTATACTTTGTGATATAGACTGTCTCCTTCAGAAGGTACTTTCTGTAGGTACTATAATAATATATCATTGAATTAAAATTTAACGTATTCATTACAGGTCACCCATTCGACACCAGCTGTACTGTCGAGACAGATAATGACCTCCTTTTTTTTTTTTAATTTGGAATCGCTGAAAGAAAAATTAATTTATGACGAGTTATGCCAAAAAAAAAAAAAAAAAAAAAAAAAAAATGATGAAATAACAACTTCAAACAATATCGTCGATTATAATTTATTATTTCCTTGATAGCAGCTATAGCCAGAGACTGGGGAAAAAATGCGCTGAAAAATCAAAGTTTATTAGCTCGGGGACAGATATGAGGTGCGGCTGTGGTTAGTCGAAATCATCGAAACTACTCCTCTATTGTCGCCGGATGTTAGTCGGAAACACCCGATGAAGCAAGTTAGTAGGTATAGTTTTAATAAGTACCCCACTACTGTTTAAGTGCCTACTGCTACTTGAATAAAAATTGAAGTATTACGTCGATCTCTTTGCTTAATTCTCGTGCAGCTGTGACCTAACGTCGACTACCGCGAGTGTACTCGCCTGTGTATAGACAATATCTCCTGGACATCGATTCAGCTGTATATATTTATAGCAATAGTGGCATAGCGACAGGGAGGTTAGGAATTTAACCTCCTACCCCCGTGAAACAATCCTGCGTACGCCACTACATAGCAAATCGGCTCCAGTGATTACATGAGCGAGAACGCGTGTTACTTTCAGCTCAAACACCACGCTCTGGCGGTCCCGTTTGGTTATCATTGGCCGACTCACAATTATTGACTAACACACCGCGTAGAGCGCACTGCCTTTACATGTCGAACGCATAGGACGCAGACAATAAACTACGTATAGTTTTTTATTAGACACGATTTAATAACTGTACGCTGCAAAACAGAAAAGCGCAATGGGTGTACTTCGTTAAGATTATTTATTTAAACGCACCGTTTTTCTCCTACACTCGAATGTTTGGGCCACAACCTGTTTGAAGACATATGGTTAATTAATAAAAATAAAAATGTGAGTTTGTATTACAATAATAATTTATTAAAACAAATGAACGCACAATAGCAACGATTCGTCTAGCTCGGCTGACATTTATTATCATATTATATTATGTATATCTGTATGCCGTATTGCCACACCCGTAATACCAATATGTGTCACATGAGCAATAATAATAATTATATTAACTATGATAATATATAATAACAACACTAAAATTATAGGGTGTAAAATCTCACGTATACTCATTAATAATTAAACCGGTTCCGTTTTTTTTTTTAATTTCAATAGTTACAATTAATAAATAAACAGTTTAACCCGTCAATGTCAACAATCTAAAACAGCTTAGAATTTGACCCAAATTTTTAATAAACAAATTAAACGGAAATTGTTGTTTCTGTAATAATATACAGATAATTTAAAAAACAAACTCGGAACATAATTTGTGCTCATTAAAATATGTTCCTATAATGATTTATGCAAAGTAAAACACTCTACCTAATTATAAATTAAAATCTAACCGCCGACATCCAACCGTTAACCACAATCGTTGCAAATAAACTAATCATAATGTAACATTATTTTATTATATTTTCTTCTTCATTTAATTATTGATATATCATATATATATTGCATTAAGTTTATTAATTTGCAATTATTTTGAGTTAATTTTTGTTGTTTGTAATATATTTTAAATATATAATAGTAGTTAATATTTAACAATTAAGTTACACAATTAAGTATCGTACTGTGTTTTTTATTAGTATTGAAGTGCTTGGTATAGTTTACAGCTTGTTCAATATCTTAGCATCCATTGTTTTTTCTTTTAGATGGGTTGTAATCCGTTTTCCACTGTTGTGCTGGTGAACACGTTGGGAACGGATTGTCCAAGCATCCGTCCTTGTTATAGCACCCGGGATGCCGACACGAGTCTTGAAGACCATTGAATTTTACACACACACATTTCGAAGCCTGAAATAAGAAATCTTGTGTTATTTAGTTAAGGTAATCGTAATACTAAACAATTATATTATACTCTTCGGTTAGGTTATAACCGTATATAACGAACAGGAAAAATAGATGCGGTTATTTGGACGTGAAAAATAATATTAATAATACAATTATTTTATTTGGATGAATTACGTTTAATATACTTAATAAAATAATTTTATCAGGATAGGAATATCTAACCTTGTCTAAATCAACAAAAACCACTTGAATATCTACAATAAACTTCTATTAAGTACAATAAAAATAAAATAAAATATTAAATTGTATATAATTAATTTATTATTCAATATCGATAAACAAAAACTGCGAATTTTTTGTTTTACTCCAAAGTTAATATATTGAATGCAGTTAATATTGACAAGAGTAATAATTATAATTTACTATTATTTTTTACGGGAAGAGGCAAATGTTCCATCTCTCCTCCCCCCAATAAGCGCCCTCGGTACTTATATACACGTAATATAGCACTATAAATGCATTTAATTGCATTGCCATTATGTTGCAATTGTCAGTGGCCATTAATACATTAATAATATAATCATATCAACGTCATAATTTAATATTTTATAGCGATGAATATTATAGGTACCATTAGGTGTAGAAGAGTATTGTACACTATATTAAAGTATTATACATTTATATTCAACAACAAAAACTGGAAAATATATATCGCTGTAAACACACGTTGAGTTATAGAGTTTTATTAATTATTATCAATAATTTCTATACCTTATAAATATATGTTTTAGCACCCTAGGTTTCGTGATTTTGGAACGACTGACCTAACTTTTTAAAAATATAATATTTTTATTCACCAATTTTCCTTTGTTCGCTATAAATTCTTTTCCGTACGTCGTCAGTTCAGATACCTCACATTCGTTTTTGACGGTGGTGCAAAAATTTCTATTTGGTAATCTCTGTCTTTCGCAAACGTTGGCATTAATCAAAGGAGTCGGCGACACTGGTGACAGCGTACAACAAGGTGAACGCTTCCTGGGGATCGTTTCGCGATTTACCTGCCCACAATTTATTCTTCTGTTTGTGTTTTCTCTTTGAATTTCTTTCAGTGTGTTCATCAAATTTTGTTGTTCGCATTGTTTTTCGTATTGGTTTGTGTTCATGTTATTTTCGAATCAAAATGTGTTATTTTTAATTGTTAAATTGAAATGTGATTTATTTTGCTTTAGTGAGGTTTATAGAAAAATATTTTGTTTGAATGTTGTATGTATAATACTGAAATGTGTTACGTTAGAAACCAACTATTTTTAATTAATTGTCAATAACCAAAAATTAAAAAAAGAAAAAAAAGAGGTTTAATATTATAATAATAGGAATGACATTCAATTAAAAATATATTTTAATTATATAATAATGATTGGGCATAATTATATATTAGATTTAGATATCTATCGTAACATTTATACATGTAAGGCGTGCAGTTGTTAAGAGTACCAAAATAGGTGTTCTCGCATACTCGTCGTATCTACTTTTTATAAATGTATTTGATACTATAGATATTAAACTTGAAATAAATTTAATAAAATACAGCGAATTTTTTAAAGAACAATAAAACTCAAATATTATTTAATATATTTATTATGGCTTTATGTGACCATTATACAACTAGTACAGATTATAGAAATTGTGTGAATTATAGTTCAAGTTTAAGTGGTCTAAACTTTATCTTTAATCATATTATATTATTCAATTAAATTGTGCTTTTTAAACTGAAAAAACTGTTGACACATAATTATTACATTAAAACGTAGTAAAAGAAATATTTTAATACAGTAAGTAATTAAAATTACAGTTCTTATTGTTCTTAATACTCTATAGTTAACTAATAGTCTTTTTACATGTATGTTGGATTTCAAAATAATATCCTATATTGAAAGTTAAATAATTCATACTTTTAGAACAAGACTGGTATGACTTAAAATGTATAGTTTTTTGAAACATCAATATGAAGTTTAAAACTAAGAAATATCGTAAAAGAGTTCTATACTAATCAAAACTAAAATCATAAATACTTAGTAATATACTTTATAAAATAACTATTAAAATAAATATTGTTTGTGTTTCCCACTTAACATATTACTCAAAAATTAGTTGTTATTAACCGCAAGAATACCACATATTGAAATATAGTATTCTTAAATGTTAAGTTCAGTGATTAATTGGAATAAATTAAAAAATATCACAAAGTAATAATTATGTCTCTGATACTTTGAAAATAAGCTAAGAATTTAATAATTAAATATTGACATATATTTTTGATGACAGAGTGAAAAATAGTATTGATTGGACGTTCTTGCATTATATAAAACTAATTTTTTATTCAAAAGTAGATATTATAACTCAAAATAATTACATTTTGAGTTATGGCAGTCTTGTTGTAGAAGTGTAAATTATTAGATATAGGTAGGTACTAGGTATAGTATATAAAAACAAGATTTTAATTTAAAAAATATTTTTATGTTATACATCGAAGAAATTTTTTTGGTTGAAAATGTATATCATATCTTTTTAATTAATTTTATAGTTATTACGAACAAACATGTATAATGTTTACTATAAATACAGTTTAAAATCCATAACGATAAATTAATAAACAAGCATATAACATGAATTGAAAACACATAAATTATAAGCAACATCAAAATTATTAGATTTTAAATTAACACATTAAATTACAAATAAATTTTTACTTTTACATTAAAACGGTTAGGCCCGTCACACATTTTACCTTTTTTTAAATTTAAAGTTATTTTATCTAAAATCCATGCGGGAAATCTGCCACTTACAAGTTGGCCAGTGTGGCAATCAAATCGGCGCCAAAGTAATTATACTCAGAGATGACAACTGTTATAAATTATAATACTATAACATCATTAACACCAGTCGGCGGTCCACATACAATATACACTAATGTATCGTTATTGTTTTAACGTATGCGAACTTTTATTGTTGCATAGTTCTGGGAAGTGATATCCGACGAGCACGGCATTGATTCAACCGGAACGTATCAAGGGGATTCCGATTTACAGTTGGAACGGATAAATGTCTACTACACCGAGACGCTTGGTAAGACTCGACGTGAATACTAAAACTATATCGTTAATGATGTTCGGTAGATGATTCCATACAAAGATAATATTATAATATACCGGTCAAATGGTTTTACTATACCTGATGCGTGCGTGCGAAATTATTAGGCGGAAAATATGTGCCACGAGCAGTCCTTGTGGATTTGGAACCCGGTAGCATTGACATGGTGAGGTCGGGCACGTTCGGTCAGATATTCCAACCGGATAACTTCGTTTTCGGGCAATCTGGTGCTGGTAACAACTGGGCAAAGGGACATTATGCCGAAGGTGCCGAATTGATGGATTCTGTGTTCGACGTGATCAGGTATACGACTGGATTATTATACAGAGACACATATGAGATAAAAATAAAGACGAATTATATATCACTTTTTAAAAAATGAATATTTTCTCCATTAGTATACTGGTGGCTAATCGCCGACGTTAAGACAGTTAATACGACATGCACAATAATATGTATCGCAATAAAATACATTAATATGCGTAACATATTATATTAGTCTTGTTTAAGCAATTATTTAAGTAAAATGCACAGAGGTTAACATGTTTTTCCAATCACAGAAAAATGTACTTAAGATTTTTAACCTCTTTAAATTACAAAATAAATCTGATTTTTTACAAAAAACCACTCTATATTTTTGAAAATTAAAGCATTTTATCAACTATTTTTTATGTGTATATAGTATATTATATTATATTATACTATACACAAAAACACACTTTTGTAAATTCAATATACTCATTGTTCTGCTCAGAATCTTAAAATAACTTGAAATTTTTAAGGGTATAACTTTCTATTGTGGATAAATAAATACTAAAAGAACTTTGATAAATGTACACTCTTCATTATTTATTATTGCTTTCTGCATGATTTTCTAATGACGCGTAGCCATTTTTCAAAGCACAAGAAAAAAAAATAAAAATGTTGTGTTTTAGGAAAGAAGTAGAAATTTGTGATTGTCTACAAGGATTTCAAATGACCCATTCACTGGGTGGCGGTACTGGTGCAGGGATGGGCACGCTTATGATAGCAAAAATCCGTGAAGAGTATCCGGACCGCATGATTTCCACGTTCAGCATCATTCCATCGCCGAAGGTATATTATGTTTAACGGACTACTATACAAACTTTATGTAAATTTTTGATGTAAAACAAGTAGAAATCCAAAAAAGTGTTGCACCGGTAAAATACTGCAACACTATTACATATAAGTTTAAGTTCTCACAAATAATGTTTTACTTTTCTCGTACTAATTTTTTTTTTTTTAAACAAAACTAAATAACTTGGGTGCGGCGCGGTAATGAATAAGGACAGCAAATATATAAAGTCTAATTTATCAAATTAGTGTAATATATATTATATTAGGAACAAATCCGGCCCCGAAAATCACTGGTACCTAGAATAGTGTCCGCGTGCATGCCCTGTCTGCCAATCAGTGTCTTACCCGCCATCCTTCGTGGTTACCTGCAGCCTGTACGTACCTAATAAGACGTAAAACGGTCGTTATAAACCACTCTCGTTTATATTAACAATAATTAAGACTTGGAAGTTGTAAGAGTTTCATACTTGTTTAAATGCTCTCGATTTACAAAAAATCTATAGTAAGAAATTTATTTTAAACAATGAAGACATGTTTAAAAATTAAAATATTAATATGTATTTTTTTTAAATGATGTTTTAATTTTATAACTACTTTTTTAAGCCTACAACTCACAAATATTTAAAATACATTTTTATGAAATCTATTTATATAATGGATAATATATTTTTAATATAATAGCTATTATAGTCAACCTGGCAATCAGTTCTCCACACATCAGATTTTTCAATAATTTAATGAAACAATTTTAATAGGTAATGATATTAATATAATATAATGATTATATATATATAAATATTTTTTTGGAAATTTTGAAATTTTTTTTTCATACTTAAAATACCTATACTAAATACTTGTTTGCATATGTTAGAGTTTTTTAAGCATATTTTGTGCATACATATAACATAAACTCAATTATAAAATATATAATATATTAGCTCCTATAACTTCTGAGCTCTACTAATAATATATTATCAAAAACGAGACATTTGCATGAAAGTTTATCAATGCGTTTTTCAGGTATCCGACACCGTCGTGGAACCGTACAACACGACGCTGTCCGTGCACCAGCTGATAGAGAACACTGACCAGACGTACTGCATCGACAACGAGGCGCTGTACGATATTTGTTTCCGAACGCTGAAGCTGAACACACCCACATACGGCGATTTGAACCATCTAGTGTCCGCAGTCATGTGCGGCGTGACCACGTGCTTCCGATTTCCCGGGCAACTGAACACCGACCTCAGGAAGCTGTCCGTTAACATGGTGCCGTTCCCGCGGCTGCACTTCTTCATCACCGGGTTTGCACCGCTCACGTCCCGCGGTTGCCAGCCGTACAGGGCGCTGTCCGTCTCACAACTTGTCCAGCAGATGTTCGACTCCAAGAACATGATGGCCGCGTGTGATCCCCGGAAAGGTCGGTACCTGACCGCCGCCAGCATATTCCGCGGCCGCACGTCGATGAAAGAGGTGGACGAGCAGATGCTCAACATTCAGACGAAAAACTCCAGTAACTTCGTCGAATGGATACCGAACAACACCAAGACGGCCGTGTGTGACATACCGCCCAGGGGCCTCAAGATGTCGGGCACGTTCGTCGGCAACACGACCGCCATCCAGGAGATATTCAAACGGGTGTCCGTGCAGTTCACCGCTATGTTCCGGCGCAAGGCGTTCTTGCACTGGTACACGGGCGAAGGCATGGACGAGACGGAGTTCGTCGAGGCCGAGTCCGACATGCACGACCTGGTGTCCGAGTACCAGCAGTACCAGGAGGCGACCGTTGACGGTCCGTACGAGGAGAACGACGAAAAATAAACGATATTCTTGTGCGAGCAAAATTACTATCTTGGCGTATGACAGACAAAATACCTACATTATGCTACAATTTTACCATCGTTTTTATTGATAATACCTGCTAGAGTGTTAAACGGCCGTTATGTCTTTATATGCACTCACAATATACTAGGCGATGATAATAATTCGCATCACATATTATAGCACTTATCGCGCCACTGCCGAATAAATTGTTACAAGTACCCACAACAATATGTGCATAAAAAAAAAAAAAAAACAAAAAAACAAAATAGATTTGCATAATAATTCCCATTTTCTTTAATGTATTGTGTTTGTTTTTCATAATTTGAAAAATACTAAGTAGTAATTTTTCATTTTGACCTCTCAAAAATACAAATTAAATACAATTTTATATCCAAAACCACCCTCAAAGTTTAAAATCGGACCATTTTTTCGGCTACTTGTCGTGTGTAGAACCAAAAAACCACGTACCTATTTGTAAAATCAATACATTTATTGTCCCGCTCAAATCCTAAAAACTAATTCTATATTTCTATCTAATAAAATAACAAAATAAATAAATATATAGATAGTAGATATATTTTGTAACTAAAGTGGATTAAATTAAATTATATATTTATACAAGCCTTCCAAATTATGCTTGATAAAATAAATTAAATAAGCATACAACCAAAATAATAATACCCTTCATTTGGAAATTCAGTTTACTGTCTAATCGAATAAAACCGCAAGATAGTACCTATATTGTAACTTTCATTAAATAACCGTGAGCTAAATATACAGCAGTTGTATGACCATCTGTAAACAGTTAAAAATATATCAAACCACCTGACCTAATATAAAATTTATAAAATGAAATTAGGTATAAAATTTAAATTTTATTACGAGTTAATAAAAATTTATATATAATTGTATAAAATTATAACATATAATTCAATTGAAGAGCGAATACGGATAAAAACAAGAGATTTTTAATTATTAAAAAAGTAAGTTATGATAAAATTAATAAATAACAAATTTATTTAATAGAAAATATAGTTTTGAAGCAATTTTAATTACAATTACTGTTATTTAAATTATTTACTACCTACTTATTTTAATTACTGTTATCACTTGTTAATCATTTATACAGAAAAATAGATCTAGTTTGTTCTTTTAAAAGAAAAAATTCTTAATATTTTTAAAAATGAGAAAAAGAAAAGCAAATAAAAAAATTAAGAAAAACTAATAATTTTTACACAAAACCAGTTAAAAAATCTATATTCAAAAGTAGTTTATATAGAATCCAAAAAATCTAAAATAATTAAATTTATAATCGCAATTATTTTTTAGATATTTTAAAATAAAATTTGGATGAATTTATGCATGTTGAAAATAAATGAAAACAATGTCAGTTATTTTTTTTAATATTCAAAAACATTATACATGAGGACTTAAAATTTTACATATTATGTTATAGATTTTACTAAACACAATTATATTTAAAAAATAAATTGATAAATCTTAAAGTAAAATCTTTTTTACCATGTAAGTATCTCAAAAGTCAATAATAATAATATAAGGTATAAATATTGAATATATAGGTTATAGGTATTACTATAATTTACTATAATAATTATTAAATATTAATAAAATAATAAATGCAATGTTTTCGATAAATTTAATTAAATTTATCATGTTACTTATAGAAAAATAAATTAATTTAATAATATTAAAAATTATTATAAAATATAGATTAGTTAACAGTCTTTGCTCAAAATTATTTTTTGTTGACATTGAATGACCACTGAATTCAAATTTAACAGATACATATTTAGACTTACTCAATAATGAGTGACACTCGACACTTACCGTACAAGCATAGCGCTTACCTATTTTTCCAATTTTTTTTGAATTATTGTAATTTTAAACTTTTTGGTAGTATTTTTACAAATTAATACTCAGACAAAGTTTAGTTTTGTCTGGTTTATGTAAAAATTATTAACATATTATATCTCATATATATGTGTATATTTTATAAATATTTTTAAAAATGTAATCATAGGTACTATTTTTTTACTATAGGAAGAGCTTTTTTTAGTTTTTCTTTAACCATCATTTTAATATAGACTATATTATTAAATTCAATGAAAAAATATAATTATAAATATTTTATTATACTTTTAAACAATTATTTTGATTTTTTTATTCCATAATCAATTTGTTTACTTATAATTTAAGCATAAATAAATATGACAAATGATAGAAAAATATAGAAATTTGGTTTTATTTTAATTTTATTATCATTATTATTATTGCTTGATTTTTTTTTCTATATTTAGGATTTTACAAAAGACAAAAATAATTTTAAATTAAAATTATAATCAACTATAAATATTAATTATATCTATTATATCTAAGTAACACATTATTATGAAAGTTACCCTTTAATTTACAATAAATACCTATGAAATAGGTACTTAATATATTATACTTGAAGTACAAATATTTTCTATCAACACTTCCACAAAATTTGCTGCTAATTGTTACTCATCTGCTAGTTCTTTCCATTTATCAGTATTTGACATGCAAAGTGCCTACAGAAAAATAATTAGGTAATAACTTTTTACTATAAATTTCTATTTCTTGTTTTATTTTTCTTAATATAAAAAAAAAAACAATAAAAGTTTATAAGGCTATTTCTATAGATATGCATATTATAGATATAATAATAAGTAAATAATTATACAAATAAATATTTGATAAATTAACACTATAACAATTTAAATTCCTATAATATTTATTTATTATCAGAAATTCATTAAATTAGATGAAATATTAAAAAATAAATCTGTAAATCAACTATACATTTTTCACATTAACCATGATGAAAACATTTAAATTTCATTATTTATTTACAACATAGAAACATAATACATGACATATATTTATAGGTATATATATATATATATATATATATATATATATATATTGTGATTTGTGGACTGCACCCTAAATACTTTGTCGCAAGCCAGTGACTATGAAAATCATATTTAATGAATCATTGTAAAGTTTTTAATCCTCAATGATGGTGGGCCAATACAATACATACTCGGTTATTACGACACTGACCAAGAGACAAGAGCTACCTCTAAAGATTAGATGTAAATACTGTTATCTGTTTACATGTTTCAAAGTAAATAATAGGTGTATAAAAAATGGTATTCAGATTACCAAAACATCATTGTTTTAATCTTACATATTTACCTAGATAATAGACATAGGTAGTCATTGTAACTTGCAAGGTACCCTATAACATTACATTATTAATTGCAAGCTACCGCCTCTATCCAACATAACATCGTACAATACGCAAACGCTTCTCCAATTTTGTATAATATAGACTATAATACCACGAGTAGAGACAAATTTTCAGAAGTAAAGAACAAAGAGATGTAAAATTTTCGAACGGTTGCATTATTGTTTATCGTATGTTTCTGTTCAGACGTCGACGTCACAACTCACAACAACAACAACAACTAAAATAGGAGAGTACTTATATGGGTAGTTGAATGCCGTTCGACGTTTATTCCTTACACAAGGCCGCCTTTGGTCGACAAAAAGTTGCAGCAGTAGCACCGGTTATTATCTATATCGTCATGTTATTATTTATCTATGCCACAATAATAATAATAAAATTGCCGGTGCGTTCGCAACGATGCCTTTTCATTGGACGAGCGTATTATCAATATCACCGAAACGTGTGATACCAGTATCGGTCATGTGCAAGTTACATACAACATTTCAAATGGTTTCAGTATACACTATACAGTGTACGTCGATTTCGTACAACAACTTTTTTTTTTGTCCCGTTCTAATTTCTTAAATCGTTTATTATTACCTCGGGCGCCAGTTGTTCACGTCTTCGACACACACGAACTCGACGTCGCGACCGTACTAGACCAACGTATTTATTTTTCATTGTATTAATTTGATTTCAATATTATGTCAAAATCAGCTCACTCAGTGGATACAATATCCACTGTCATTTGATTTTAACCGTACGAGATGGATCAAAACAATCCACGACCAAGCTGTAGCTCTTCTACGTTTCCTACACCGACGGCAGTTACCTGTCAAGCACAAACGACTCAAATGGCGTCTACAATAATTTCACCACCAACCAATAGTTATGTGCTGACGTCTAGTAACCTAAGGCCTGTTACCAACTACACCCTCGTTGCTAGTTCGCAAGTACCTGTCACCCATCAGTATGTAGTCCAGTCAACCACCCGAACAACTATACCTCAGTATGTGAGCACGGGCAACGTTAAACATATTGTGTCGCCTAGCACTCAACAGTCAAATGTTACTTATATGTTACCATCCGGTGCTCATATTGTCAGGATGAACAATGTCGTAACTACCACAGTAGCCGGAGAACAAAAATCTAATACACAATATATTTTAACATCAAGTACTCAAAAAACGAATTCTAGTATTATATCGCCATTAGGGACACAATCTCCAATAACAAGTGTTTCAACTGACACAGAAAAAAATTGTGAGTATTTAATAAAATTAAAAATTATTATGCATAAAATATGTTTATTTTTATTTTAACTTTGTATTGTTTATAAACATGTTTTAATCAAAGTTTATTTACTTATTAATTTAGTTGGATCAAGTGCTACTGTGTCTAGAACAGTTAGTGTAACTACATGTACATCTCCAATATTTCAAAAGGCTGGATTAAGTTTCCCTAGATTGAATGCTACATACTATAGTCAAATAAAAGGAAATGATACTACAAAGATTTCTTTTAGACCTAGTAAGTATATAAATGCAATTAGAAAGTTAAATTATTAATTAATTTATGTAATAATAATTTTAGAACTGAATGAACAAAAACCCGGTACTAGTTATATTCTAACGTCTAATGATTGGTCCCGCACTAAAAATGTCCCCATGTCAAGTTTACAAAAAATTAATACAAATTATATGCAAATACCATTGATTCAAAAGCCTGGAAATGTGATATCTACAAACACTTTAAGATCTAATGTTGATATTCAACAACAAAAATCTCAACCTCAACCAATTCGTTCAGTTATTTTACCATCAAATTATCGAACGGCTGTTTCTCAACAACAAAGCACTGATTGTAAATTAGTTCTAAACTCAATTAATGTTACAACCCAAGTAAGATGAAATTATAAAACTGTATGAAAATAATTAATTTTGTCGATAAAAAAATAAAAATATTTTATTATTAGTATTAGTTTAATAACACTTAATTACTTATACAGTAAAAATTATCATAAACATTGTTTAAATAACTAATTTAGAGTCTTTTTTTAGTTTTATAATATATCATATTACAATACAAATATTTAAATGTAACAAAATATTAAAATGTAAAATTTCATTAAAACAATAAATTAATTATTTGATCTTTAATTACTGAAAATATTTTTTCCTTAAAAGTTGTTTTTTTATTTAATTAATATCATTAATAATTAAAAATAATTATTTACATTTTTGGATACCTAATTAATATTTTTATTAAAAACAAAAAAATTAATTTAATATAGATTAATTAAGTACAACTTACAAAAATTATAGTCTTACTAAAAGTTTGCAACATAATATGATATTAAGTTTAAGTATTATATTGTGTTTAATAAGTACATCAATATTTAGTTTTTGTTGTATCGTGTATTTAAAAATGTTCAATTAAAAAGTTTAAAATAAATAATCTTATGATATTATTTTAATATTTATTTATTTATTTTTATTTTATTTTTTCTTAGGGAATAAATTCAACTGATAGTAAACCTAGCTCATCAAATACTTCAGTTTCAAGTATACAACAGCTCAATACAAATTATATGCAAATTCCAATATCTCAAAAACCTGGAACTATACTCACACGTAATAATACACAACCAAATATTGAAAATAATATACGTATTGGACAACATCAAACTATTCGATCAGTTATTTTACCATCAAACTATCGAACAGCTATGGTATCATCCCCACGAAGAGGTGTTGATTATAGATTAATACTAAAACCTGTAAATATCCAATCACAAGTAAATTAAATATAATTTAATTTAAAATATGTACCATTATTGATTAATTAAATTTAACTTTCATGTTCATAGGTAATAAGAAATGTACCGCCTCCTCGACTTCCAAGTCCACGAAATAATTCAGTACGAAATGCTTCCCCTCGACAAACTATACAACGACAAACATCACCACGGCAAAATTCTCCGCGTCAAAGTTCCTCTCGACAAAGTTCACCAAGACAATCTTTACCCCGACAAACGCCACTTCCTATACGTTCAAATTCATTTCCAACCCGTGTTCCTTTACCTCGCCCATCTACTTCAATTCATAATGAAGTGATTGCAAATTCAAAAATTACTCCAATTCCACTAAGAAAAAGAATTAAACATTTAGTAATTACAGAAAGATCCATAAAAATTTGTATGGATGAAATTAATAATAAACATTATAAAGATAGTCCAAATTCAAATTTAACTGACGCAGCAATCAAAGTTGTCCAAGCTGAAGTTACTTATAGATTATTTTATTTATTAAGGGTAAGAAAATTATTATTAATGATACTTTTTTCTTAAATTGACTTAAACTATAATGCGATTTAATAACTGCTATTATTTAAAGTGTACAAACTCATGAAATTTGCTAACTTAGTATATAAAATCATAAAAATGTAACTGTAGAGAAATAACTTAAAGTTATTGTTGATTAAGGATTTATTCTCAACCTTCCTATCAATCCAATAATAATTGATAGATTTGTTTATTGAAAAGATAATGACTTGTGATTGATTATATCTAATGACTCATTAAATGAAGTTTGTTTATTAGTTAACAGTTTTTGTACATATTTAGATTGATTAATTATAATTTATGAATAAAACTTTTTATAAAATTGTTAATTATTAATACATCTTTATTTTGAATCAAAACTGAAATTTATAACAATTTATAAAAATATTAATTTTTAATTTAAATAAGTAAAATACATTTATTAATTTATATCCTTTATAATAAAATATTATATTAATTATTTCAAACTTATTTTTATATAATTTTTCATATTTATTAATATCAGTATTTTTTTTTAAAAAAATTCTGTAAGAATTATAATCATAAAAATAATTTTTTTTTATTTTAATTTTGAACTTAGAGTCCTTACTTTTAATTCTCGTGTAAAAATTCATCAAAAAAATACTGACACTTAAAAAAAATTATAAAAAAATGTACAAATATAAATATAGTTCTCTATTTAAAAAAAAATTAATAATATATTTTAGTTTAAAATTAATATTTTTATAATATTACAATTTTTTAAACAAAATAGAAATGTTCTAATGATTTCCTATCTTCAAGTGTTCTATTAGTAAAATTTACTTATATTAACCTTATACTAGTCTAAATATGCACAAAAACTATGTTTTTTGTATAATTAACTATTGATAATTTTTATAATTGTAATACAGTTACACCCATCATGATTATTGATTGTAAGTTTATTATTATTATCGAGTAGTAGTACCTCGAATGAAGAACTTCTTCAAAAGTAAAGTAAATTAATTAATTTTTAAAAAAATGTTCTTTAAATGTTTAGTGCACCATGAGTATCATTAGATGTAACAGCTCATTATCCAAAAAACAAAAAAATAAAAAATATCTCAGTATAGAAAAATAGAGAAGAAAATCTTAGATATGAAAAACTTTAAATATTTTATCTTAACATTAAACTTTTTGTCATCAAGTTTCTTATAATTTTTTTTAGGTATTCATTAGTTTTATACTAAAATAATAATTATTACTTATTAATACATTCTATTAAAGCTTGTTTTGATTGTATACATTTGCAAACTTTTTATTCATAATCATATCGTGAATTATCTTATATTTATAATCTTTTTATCATAATTCAAGAATAAATTGTTCTTTTATGTAATCAAATAATATTAAATTTTAGCATCAAAAAATATTTAAATTTAATAAGTAACTATGTGTTGCAGGAATGTAAAAAATTTCTAATTAGAAGCCGTTCAAATGTTTTAACTGAAGAAGCTGTTAGACAAGTCTGTGCTGAATATTTTGGAACATTTTTTGGTAACAAATTATGGCCATTGTTCTGTTTAAAATGGATTGACGATGGTTTAAATTCTGAAAATGATGAAAATAGAGTTTGGATGAGAAAGCATAATAATGTTAATCTTATTGGATGGTTAAAACATCCAAAATTTCGTAATCCAAGTTATATACAAAAACGTAAGACTATTTATTTGTTATTATTCTTTATACAGTCAAATTCGCTTATAACGATGCCGTTTACAACAATATTCTGGGTAAAACGTTTCCAAGCAATGTATTTGGTTGGTTTTATATCTTTATGTGCTGTTACTTTTTATAATCCGGATATCACGAAGTTGGGTTATAACAATCCAATTCTCTTGGTCCCTTGAAGATTGTAATAAGCGAATTTGAATATATTTCATGTGTACAATAAAAATTAGTTTATAATGGTATCTATGATCATAACATAAACCATGTGATCTTATTTAACCTACAATAGCATGATAACATTTAAGTTTAATATACAACTATTTAAATGTTGGAAGCATTAGATAGCAATATGAGTTATAAATTATTGAAAAAACAATTAATGTTTCTATAATCCTCGCCTAAGTACTATTGAAAGTTCAAAATCATTTTTATCAATCATATATTTTTTAAACTATCAGTTTTTATTAATCTTGCAAAGTTATTATAATCAAACAACTTCTAGCGTTTTTAAATTATATTCTTTGTTAAAAATCTATTCAGTTTTTGTTCCACTATTAATTGTATGTATGAATACTATAACTTATAAAAAAAAATGTTATTATTTTTTTTTAAATAACTATTCAAAAAAAATTTATGTTTTTATTTTGTAATTGGTATAAGAATTGTTTTTCCATGACTTTGTTTTTAAGTTAAGTTTGTTTTACTAATTATTACATAATATACTATTTTATAAAATGCTTATAATTTTATTTTATTTTACAGGTCATTTCATGAATTTAATGAATACAAATCCTTTATTACCTAATTTAGAAAATATTTCTGAAGTAATGTATGAACACAAATTACATAATCAAACAAATCAAGAATCACCATCTCGGAAATTTTACCAATCTTTAAAAAGTGATCAAGTATCATTAAATAAAATAGTCGCAAAAAAAAATGATAATGTATTTACCCCAACATCACATAAATTTATGGATATTCCACTAGAAAATCAAATGCTTTCTTCTAGTAAACAAATATCATCTACAATAATTCAGTCACAGCGAACACACTGTAACCCAGAATAAATTATATATCAAAAGGTCTAATTTCTATATGTATACAAAATTACTTATTTTAATATTAGACTTTGATTCATGGTGAATAAGTTTAAGTATTTGTGTTTTCAGTCATTACTATTGTGTTTTACATTTAAAATAACGTATACAATTAAAATGTATCAATGAAAAGCTAATTAATTATTACATTAAAACAGTTAACATAAATATTTTAAGTCTAATAATCATTGTTTTAAAATATTTACCTGGTCAAAAGTCAAGTAAAACTTAAATATGCTATATCATTTATTAAAAAAAATATTTTAACCCAAACATACTTTATTAATATATCATACATTGTTGATGATTTAATCATTGTTTTGTGTTTTTAAAATTTTTAAGAAATCATTTTTTTAATTTTAATTTTCAAACTTGCATTTAAGCAGCATATAAATACATTATTTTATATTAACGTATAATCAATTTAAAAATATGTAGTAATAATTGTGTTATTTTAGGATTTTTAGTTTAAAATCTTAAACTAGATTTTTATAATGACATAAAATGCAATTTCCTAATACTAGATATTCCATTGCAATATTTAAGTAATAGTTCAGTAATTTTTCTGTGATTTCTTTTGTGTGGAAATAATATATAAAAATCATTGATGTACATATCAGTTATTGAATTAAGCATATTGGCTTAAACAAATGTTTAGAGTATGTTTTGGAATTATAGTTAATTTTAAAATTATTAACTAGTTGAAGATTAATTCAAGTAACATTCTTCAATTCTTCTTATATGTTTACAATTTTACTTATATATTTTATGTTGACGATCAATATGATGTTTCATCAAGAAATTTAGTTATTCAAAAATCATTCTCAACCTTTAAATTATGAAAAATTGAAGGATATTAAATAAGTAGTTCAAGTATATTTAAATTATTGATTACTTTGACTTAGGACTTTATCCAAACAAATTTATTTCATGGTAAATATTTATTTAACTGTTTAATAAAAAAACTAATTTTTTTTTATTTATTATATTTTATAATTATGTAATATGCTAATACAGTCAAAATCGCTTTTAATGATGCCATTTACAACGATATTTCGGGTAAAACAATTCAAAGTTATGTATTTGGTTGGTTTTATATCTTATATGTTGTTACATTGTATATTCCGGATATAACAAAATTTGGTTATAACGATCTGATTTTCTTGGTCCCTTGAAGATCATAATTAGCGAATTTAACTGTAATTAATTTATGAATTAATTATTTCTATAAATCATTTTCATGTAATAAAATTTTGTTTTGTATAACATCATTAAATTAATCTTTTAAAACAGAAGAATGGTATTACTGTTTTAATTGCTTAATGTTAATAACATCTTGTCATTTTTTTTGTATTCATGTTATTCATAGAAATATAATTGATACTGTGATTGGTTATTAATGTATAATGTACAATGTGTAAAGTCATTGCCTTAAATGAATTTATAGTACAATTATTGTGAACTCATTATTATTAATTAATATTTAATGAGTTGTTGTTATTATTTTTTTATATCAAACTAACAATATCAATCGCAATAGCTGTTAATACATTTTTATACTAAGAAATATAATGTAAATATTTAAGAATTTCATGATCTCTTTTTTTGTTCATGTAATATCGTAATCATTGCCAATTTGTTTTATTTACTTGGTTGTTGTATTTATTTTTTTATTTTTTTTTTTTTTTTTAACTGTGTGATAATATTATTATAGTCTACCTACTACAATTTAATGATAACTTATGATCGTATTTGTTTTAAATTGTAATTACTTATTGTAAGAATGTTAATTATTAATAATAAACTATTGTGATCACTGATTTATAAATTATAATGTATATGAAATTTATATATTTCTATTATGTATATTTTATGAGTCTAAGCAATAACATTTAAAGGCTTGTTAAATGTAATAGGTTTCTTGAATAGAACAGTGGCAAATATAGAAGAGGGAAGAGATCAGCATGGTTTTTTTCTCATTATTATGTGACCTTTATTCTGACATGATATTGTATACATTTTTATTTGAACAAAATATGCAAGGTTGAGAAATTACGTATTAAAAAATTAAAGATTGAAAGCAGAACTTCTGTAATAGTAACCTGTTACTAAGAAAAGAAAAGTATAACTAATTTTCTCAGTATTCTATACATGTATGTATAAATATTAAATACTCATTATTTATTAATAGTTACCATATTTTTATAATAATTAAAAAACAAACTATTTATGTATAAACAATAAGTATAATTATTAAATTTTAACACTAAATTCTTAACAATGTTAGGTAAATCATCAAGGTATTGGTATTTTGTTGATTATTAAGGTATGAATGCAAAAAAGTTCAATGATCATTTTATTTTGCTTGAAATATTAATATAATATACTCACACTGTCAACTGATATGATAAAAAAAACAATGGCTTAATTAAATATTTTATTTTTACTCTTAATTGATTAATACTTTAAATTATATGAGTAAATAATTATATTTTAATAATGAATTTAATTATTATTTTTTGAAAAAAATTTAAAAAGTTTAACCATTGCTATTCGCTTTGGTAAAGTTATAAACTATTAGGTTAGAAAATGCATTAATATAAATTAATTATTTTGTTGAATTTCGTCATTGATTTAAGTATTAAAATACGAAAGTACATAAAGAATAAATTATTTTTTATCTAAGTTCCTTTTTATTTTTTAGTTACTTTGTGTAGTATGAAATATGAAATTGTGCTTAAAACAATATTTATTTTGATAAAACATTACAGCACTATTTAATGTCATTGCTTTATTTTTATAAATTAACTAAAATAATATAACATATAATACAATATGTTAATAAACAATAATATATTAAAGTAAATTAATATATCAATTAATTATTAATAATTGAATTTAATTTATATTAGGTATGCATTTTTGGTTGAAGAAATCCACAGCTCACAAGCATCGGTATTAGTTTTTAAAGTATTGATTTTTTTTTTATTTAGATTTGGCCGATTTGTACAATGTGTGTAATAAAAAAATTTGGATATTATTTATAGACTGATTTATATAGATTGCAAATGGTCAGTTATTTCGACTAAAACGTACCTACTAGTCTTTTATCAATGATATCGATGATCCTATTCATAAGATTATACAATTTATACTTTCGAAAACTGTTATGAAGTATTTATTATGTCCAATACAGATCAAGGCCACTTTATTACATTTCTTTTCCTATAAATTTGATTCAAATATTTAAAATTTCACAAATTCGAAAATTAAATCAAATATCTTAAACTTTAATCTGACTTATCTAAAGCAGATAGACATCTAAAGAATGCAAATCAGTTTTCAGAAAGACTATCACATCATTATAGATTAATTTAAAGAATTTACGAAAAGCCCATACAAATGAGCATATAATATAATATGATATTGTTCACACGCTACCAGCCACTGTGGTGACTTGTACTTACATACGTGTGTGAGTGCACTCTACTATTTATTTTGCATTACAATTTACAGTCTCACGACACACACACTTACACGCACACTATTTATCACTTACTAATTATTATACATTCATTTACAAGACTTACATGCACAAAGAAAAAATATCGTTATTGAACTCTTTAAAAACGTTCTGTTTGCAATCCCCTTATAACTGTTTTTATGTAAGTTTAAGTTAATAAAATTTACTTTAATTTTGTACATAATTATTAGGTAGGTACCTACCTATGTAATATATTAATAACATAAAATATGAACTGAATCGTAAACGTCGAGATAGTTTTTTTTTTTTGATTTCTTACATAAGTCACCTAGTGTGTAAATCTTAACTGTCCCATATTACTAAAATCCTATGTACGCCATTGGAGTAAAATTAAATAGATTTGGTAAAATAAAAACAGTCAACTATACACTAGTAGGTAGATAATTTTAAAACTACGCGCCTAGTTTAAAAATAATCAATGGCAGGTTATTGTCTGTTCAGCAAAATGTCTATACATCCTCACAATAAATTTAGAAATAAAACAGAAGATGTTCTTTATGAATATTTTTTTCTATGTGTGTATAGTAATACTTTAAAAAAAAAAAAAAAAACAATATTGGTCAGTTAATTTGGTTAATTTTAGCTGTCTGTAGATGTAGGTACTTATCTGCGTGAAGGGTCGTGCTTGGCCATCGTCCATTTATTTCATCGTACATTATAATCACTTGCGATGATCTATTTTGATATCGATAGTCCTGATGATACGCACGGCTTTAAATACATCACACAAAACTGAGACTTTGCCATTTCTGTGACAATCTATTACTCGGGATATATAATCGAGGAGAAATTTCAGTATCCGTTCATACCGCTAATAGACAGGTACCCACAAACTACATACTAAACCACTAAGATACACTACAGCTACAAGAATTCATAGTGTAATCACAAACTTTTTACATACAATTTATATTATGTATAATAATTTTAATAATGTATATATTGTTATTTAGATTTAGATGCCTAATTGATGTCATACAGCTGCGGCAGAGATCTTTATTATTATACGCTTAATGAACCTAGGCAAGTTTGTCAATAAGTATCGAAAAAATTGTGTTTATGACACTAGGTATCATCGTAATTTGACGACGCACATAAGTACGAGTTCTTTATGTAGTAATGTAGTATAGGTACCTATAACGAACATAACGTCCTTATAGTGCAACGTAACATTTACCAATATTCAAAAGTAAGCATTAAGTGGATAGTTATAATAAGTAAAATATTTAATGTAATTAAATACCGTTTAATTGACTGTTGATATAACTCAGTTTTTTTGGTTAATTCAAAAATAATTTATCAAGTTAAATCAAAAATATTTTTGAAATTGTTAGTTTTAATATTGTTCTATAGGTTAATTACTGACTAGACTACTATGTATGCATCAATGCATGATTGGTTTTAAATAAAAAATAAACTAATACTAGAATGTTTTGATAAAACAGTAGGTATAATACCTACATACGAGACAGATATGGACACAATATAATGTTTATATAATTCTTTTACTACTTAATTAAAAAAGTAGATTTTAATAATATAGATCTTAATAAATTTTATACATACCTACCTATAAGACTATAAAATATGAAGTTAAAACTAAATAGTATTTTTTTTTTTTTTTTTGTTTTTGTCTTTTATACAATTATTTTAATTAAAAACAAACAAATACATATTTCTTGAATAAAATAAATAATAACACTAATAATTATCTATGCTACTAACCTGTACTAACCTATTGCCTTATAATAAATTCAAACCAGTATAACAGTATGCAATGAGAAGAAATAAAAAGTATTATTTTTTTTTTTTTTTTTTTTAGAGTTATAAAATACCAATAGGATTGTTTTTATAGCATTGCGATTAGTTAACAATACTGCACACTTCAGCGTCATCCACTCAGTATTATAATAGGTATGGATATGGACGCCATCAACGACTGTGTAAAGAAATATCTGTCTCAAAGTGGCGTAAAAAACTATGGAGGATGGACGATCTGCGGTGGGTCCGCAACGGTGGCCGGTCGCGGCGTCGTGGCCACCCAGGACTACAACACGGGTGACGTGATATTCGTGGACGTTCCGCTGATCATTACGCCAAGAGTGATAAGCCCGGACGACAACACAAGAAGTCCTGTATGTCCAGTATGTTACACGGAAGTAACGACGCCAACCGGATGTCCGGGTGGTTGCCGGTGGCCGGTATGTGGGCGTCAGTGTGCTGACCGGCCCGAACACCGAGAAGAGTGCCGGTACGTTCGGAAACTACGTCCGAAAATCAAGAACGATGGACAAACGTGGTCGATAGGTATTTACAATGCAATAACAGCCGTCCGGGGCCTGTCGATCAGAAACAGCGAGTATAAGTACTTCCTAGACGTATTGCAAAAGAAATTGTCGGAAAAACTCACGTTCGAGGTATTTTTTTAATAACGCTGCAGTGTGCCTCGAACACCTTTTAAATTTCCCAAAATCTCACCGTTCCTTATCGATTTTTTTTTTAAATCTGACCTTTTTTTAGTTATACAGAACATGTAGGTATCCAATATAATATAATATACTAAAATGTAATTATAATAGTTATATTATTAATATTATACTCACAACCCACAATACGGCTGTTCTCGCTGTTCTTTAATTGTGTCTAGATTCATCAAACTGTTTCATGAAATAGCACGTGAGTGATCCACTTAAGAACCTATCAACTATAGTAATTAATATAATATTAGACAACACATATCGATACGTGCATGCATATTAATCTGATTTGGGGAGTAATTTTTTGACGGCGGAAAAATGTTATTTAAAGTCCGCTAGATGAAAAAGGGTCGTTTCCAACACTAATCTAACCTAACGGCATCGAAAATCAAACTTTCGATGCAAGTGTGACATACAACAATTAAACAATATTACTCGTATAGTGTCTATAATGATTACACCTAAGTGTGCTGTTTAGACTTTTATAGCTAGAAGCTAAAATAGTCACATCAATATTTTAAAGGGACCAGGGACCCTCACTAGAGAACTCTCTTGGTTTCTCTTACACATAATTTAGAACTACTTTTTGTTTAATTTAGATTTCATTCAATACACTTATACACCTATAGGCTATAGGTACCTAAGGTACTTACCTACTTATACAACTCTTAATACTTATAAAGATAAACTTAAAAATAGATTATGCATTCGTTTTACGTGCGAGTGCGGAGCGAATCTTTTAAAAGTGTTCGTAGTAAATTATAATTATTCATTAGTGTGTACTGTGTAGGATTATGTTATAAAATAGAAAATGCTTTCACGCGTTTACTCTCATATTAATAACGTACTACCTACTGAAATATTAATTATTTAGTTGGTCAAAAGTATCGATCTTTTTTCATTTGTATTGACGAACCTCTAGATATCTGATAAAATTTCTGAAAGCATATTTGTATTCTTCATGAAGTTTACTCGTAAAATCGACTTTAATATACTATTGAATTAATTTTTTTAGTTAATTATTATACATATTATTCAAAAGTTAAAAATCTAATTTGAAGTGTTTAAAAATTTAATTTCAAAGAAGTAGAAACATCATTTTCAAGTAAGCTTCATGACAAATTCAAATATGTTTTCACAAGTTTTAGATTGTCGGTATATTTGGCATAAAATAGAAAGTCATATTTTTTCTGAAACCACAGCTGGAATCGCCGTAATAATACTTTATTTAGAGGCTATCCTTTCACACGAGTTAATTGCAACCAGAATAATTGCATACAAACTTTTTTAAAACTTTATATAAGTTGATATATTTAATGAAACATCTTCTCTGTCAGAATCTATTATTAAACTTATTATAAACTTTGAAGTCTCTGTCAAACAGAAAGCTTTATTAACGTCACTGTATTACCGTCGTGTGATTTTGTAATTTTGTACGATGTTACGTTCTAACGCCGCTGACGAGTCACCTTTGACAACCGATATGATTTGTAATTGGATACAACACGACATTGATACCGCTTTCGTGCGAGTGAATTACGCGTTCTGTTTGACAGAATCTTAAATCGTATTTTTAACAAATGTATCCATGGTCCATGGGTAACCATGTAAGTGCTACCTGACAAAGTAATGACAGAAATACCTACATGTAAATCATGTAATAATAATATGTTGTGTACTGTGTATGTTGACTACAGCTTACCTAAGACGTTATTGTAGGTATTGTATACTAATCAGATGATTTCTTTTAAAATATTATTTTGATTAGGCGCATGTTAAAAATAATTTAAAAAAAAAATTCTTAGGCGTATAATCTCATCTTATTATAATACGTATACACTTGTTACTGTATATTGCTATAACAGGCTTACCGCTACCTAACCTACAGTCTTTCCTGCCCGTTAAATACGTCTATGATGCATGTAAATCATATAATGTGCACTGGATATATTATTATTAAGTCATATTATGCAAAAACTAAAAATAAATGTTCCTTAGAAATGCACATAATATTAGCTTAATCTTTTATAAATTTAAAAATAGCAGAAAGTAGGTAACCATTATGCTGTAAAAAAGTATCAAGTGTAACTTATGTTATTGAATAAATCACTATAATGTGTGTGTTAAATTTTAATTCAACGATAAATTATTACGTATAAAAGAAAATTCTGAATAAAAACAGTTCTTCAGACTATATTACTAAGAATATTTCATTATATATTTCTTGGTATTGCTTTTAAAGTAAGTAATTTATTTAACTATTACTAAAACGAAGGTTAATTAATTTTTTACAGTAAACATTGCATTTTCTGTATAATTAATATTTAATTATGTTTAATTTATATCATATGTCTATATCGTATTATTATTTACTTTTGAATCAATACCACCTTGAGTGTGAATAGCTTAATGGTATAGATAAGTAGTATCTTAAAATTAATTTACACATTTTATAATTATTGATATTTTTAATGTAAAATATAATAATACATTTAAAACTTTTAATGAAAAATATTTTTAAATTACAAGAAAATAACTTCAGTCGTTATTCTGTGATACAATATATATTATAATTTCGTTCAAGTTTAAATTTTAAATAAATGCCTATAAAAAAAACTTGTGTTTTTGTATATAAATATAATTAGATATTTTGGTATAAACATAAACTAATTATGTTAAATCTTGTTTTAAATCATCAAGTCTAAGCTATACAAATTAAACAGTTTAAAAATAATTTGAAAATTTTTGTTATTTTCGTTATTTTGAGAATTTATCAAAATTTCAACATCAAATTACACTTATAAAAAAAATCATTCCTATGTATTTTTAATATTTTTTATGACTGATATAATACAAATTTATAAAGAATCTTATATTAATTAATAATAAAAATAATATCGTAGAATGGCATGAACAGGTTGGTGGTAGATATAAGCAAACAATATAGCTTAAAATTAATCTGATTTTGATTTTTTTATTTTAATACAATTATTCAGTTTATAAATAAATAATATAATTCATTTTCGTAAAAGATCAAAATCGCTTCAAATAATGTATCACAAGATGCTATGTTACAACTTACAAGATAAAAAAAAAAAACCATTATTTGATGTTAAAATATCTAATATGATTCAAATGCTTAAAAATTAAATTGTGGTTCTATATCTTTAAAATAATTATATTTTTAAATATCTTAAGTAACATCTTATGAAAAACTTCAAGGATCTTATGTAATGAGAGACTGAACATTTTTTAAATGTTTATAAATAAGTTAAAAAAGATTCAAAACATTTCGTCGACTACTTCAAAAGGTTAAGTTCAATTAATATACAAAGAAAATGTGTATAATTTTAAAATCAATGCATTTAATTAATTGTCTAAAAAACAAAAAAAATTATTCAAATCTCAAATAACTGTATTTCAAATTAATGAAAATTAAATGCAATTATATATATCTTATTCGTTTTAAGCACTATTTTACTACTTTTTAAATTGTAGCTATTTTCTAAATGTTTAGTTGAAGTTAGAAGGATGGTGGCCTGTGAATACACTGTAATTAGTAATTTTAAATTAAAGTTTTTTACTTAATGTTTCATATTATAATTAGGTAGAAGAACTGAAAAGAAACATAAGTATGAAATTAAATGAGAAGGATGAACAAATAATGATAACTACTTGTAAAATAATGGATGCTAATTGTTTTGAAACAATTGTAAGTCGTTCCAATAAATTAATAAGTTTGAAAGGCCTGTATCCTGTAGCATCATTTATGAACCATTGCTGTGTTCCAAACACAATGCACAATTTTGATGAAAAACTTCAAATGGTTGTAAAAGCTTCCTTTCCGATATATAAAGGAGAGGAAATTACAACTAGTTATACAAATTCAATTTGGCCTACTTCATTACGACAGAATCATTTGTTAACGTCAAAACAATTTACTTGCACCTGTAGTAGATGTTGTGATACAGAAGTTAGTTATCACAATATATTTTCACAGTATTTATGTTATACATCCTATAATTTCAATATTTATTTTATTTTAGGAATTTGGAACTGAGTTAGCAGCGCTGAATTGCATAGTTAAAAATTGTGATGGGCGAATTTTACCAATTAATCCATTAAATAAGATGTCGATTTGGCAATGCAAGATTTGCACAAAATTAGTAACAAGCACTGAAATGATAAATCTTTACAAAAATATTGAGACTTTAATGAAGAGCATAAATGTGTTTTGTCCAAAAAGCTTTGAAGAAATTTTAAAGTCATTTAATATCCATAAAGACAGCCCATTTGTAGTTGATTTAAGATTAAAATTTATATGGAAATCGAAAAACAATAGTAACGTTTAATTTAAAGAAATTTAATTTAAGTACTTCAAAGTTTAATCAAACACAATTTGTGTTAATATAGGTTTAAATCTTGAACAATTGCTTTACAAAGAAAAATTGTGTATGGAAATGTTGGATTTAGTGCAAAAGTTAAGATTAGGTCAATGTCGATTATTAGGTAAATACAAAATTGAATAATATGTTATAAGTATATATGCCTCAATCACTTAAAAAAAAATAACCCACCACTTATAAATATAAATCTATTTTTATTTTTTGTATGTCTTAATAAAAGACAATAATATTTTACCTGTTTTTTTCTATTATTATTAAGATATTTGCTTATGAAGTTATTTTATTTAATGATCAAAAATTATTTTAATCATAACTTTAATAACATTTTTAGTTTTTTTTTTTTTTGTTGCTATTTACGTATTAAGCCATATAGGTGTTATTTTTTTAATGTTAATTAAAAATTAATATAAATTTCAAATAGAATTAATAATCTGACAACGTAACCAAACACTTTATAATTTATTAATGCAATTATTCATTTTATTTTCTTGCTTTTGGTAAACTATAAATTTCATCAATTTTATGTTTAAAAAAAAAAATATATTCTTAATTATTGTTGTTTAATATTTTTTTATTTAGCTACACTACATAAAGATAAATCATAATTCATAGATGTCTTTTCAAATAGTACGTTATTTAATTTCAGTCTTTCCTTCTCACAAAAATAAATTAAATATTATTTGCGTTTGACATTTTATAAGTTAGCACTATTACCTATTAATTGCATTTATAAATCATTACACAAACTCAATAAATGATAAAATCAATAATCTCAAATCCCTTTAATAAATATGGTTATGATAATGATTTAATGGTAAGTAATAAATAATCGTGGCTATAGAGACTTGCGACGGTTGACAATAATATCATATATTATTTTTATAATGATAAATTGTAATAGTATATGATCAGATATCCCATCTATATACAAAAATGTAATTTAAAATGTTATAGTCAACTTTTTTCTTTGTTCCTTAAACCTATATGGCTAAATAAATATGAATTGTAATATACCTACAATCTACATACATTACCTAAACAATACTATTTATTTGAATAACAAACTTGTAAGTTTCAATAGTAAGTATTTTTATAAATGCTAACTATTTAAACAGTGAATACAATTATTTATTATTATGTGTAGAAATTTAAAAACCAAGCTATTTTGTTTTATATCAATATAATTTTATTATTATACGATATTATATTTTAAAAGGTTTAATATCTCTAGAACTTCAGAAAGTAATTAGAGAAAAAGCGAATCGTTTCCGGAAGAAATGGAACACAAAAACATTGAATGTACGTATACAATTATTTTTTTTTACATTTATTCGTATTTTATTTATGCATTTAAATTTAAGAAGATCAGACGACGTTACGCCCGAATGACTTCATATATTATCTCCATCTAACAAATGCGTATAACAAAGAAAAAATACCTTTGCCAAAACCAATTTTCAATTTTGTGTTATCACATTAACCATAAAAGTAAATCTAAATATTATAAAACATATAAAAATTAATCATTAAAGGGATAGGTTTTATTTATCACAAAGGAACGGAACGAATTTAGATTCAAGTATTTGGCTACCTACATGTGCTTTATATATCCAATATCTAAACGATTTGTATTCATAGATCATGTTTTTCAGATTGTAAAAATTTAAGAAATAAAAAAAACGTATTATAATTTTTTATGAGTAGGTAACTATTTATTTATATAAAAAAAATTATATTACTCAACAATTGATTTGCATTAATAAATGATGACCTATTATGATTTAGATACATATCTACTTGTGCACATGGTAGAATTAACAAATTACTTATTTAATTTTAATAATAATTCTATTAATTATTATTAATTACTAGCACACCAAAATATATAATTTATTTTATATTAATTTACATATAATATTTTAAAGCAATAAAAAGAAAAAACAATCCAAAAATAGCTCTAAGTTCATAACCTTCTACTTTGGCTACAATTGTGTGAGGATGTTGTGTAACAGGACAATTCTCTAATCATCCCGGTCCTGAATTCTGTATTTCTATTTATAACTTCGAGAATTTAAAATCTATTTTTATCCCATTTATGTACCAACCAATGTTTTGATCTTCTTCAGTATCTGTTTTTTTTCGTTTGACATTCAATTGAAATTGAAATTTACAGCTCTTATACCCGTATAGTTTATTTTACCTTGAATATAATATGGAACTCTTTTGTTATTTTTCTAAACTCTGCATTTCTCTTTCTGCATCGTATGTTTGATTCATTTTTAAACGTTTTATCACATATCTTCCTCAATAGTTTATTTTCAAAAACATTATTAGAAGCTTTTTTCCAATTGCAAAGTTGTGGACCATACACCTCACACCACAAATTACCGTAGATACTATTATAGCTATATACAGTTCTTCTAGAAAAAAATTTGGATTAACAATATTTATGTAAGACAAAATATTATCTCTTTGTCTTATATATAAATATAAATCAGAACATCGAGGCTCCAGTCATTTTCATTAGTAAATTATAATAGTTAATTCTAGATATATGAACTTTTTCAAAAACATAATCTCTAACTTTCATTCATTCTTCCTCATTCAAAAGAAATTCCATTACTTTTGTTTGTATTGGTTTACTTTTAAGCCAACTAATTTTACCTTCTTTATGTGAGTAGTGAGTCTATCAATATTCTGAACTCTGATCTACTATTTTTACCTAATTACTGCCCGTGATGTTCCCTTAACTCACCCCTGAAACATTATCTGTGTTTATACGTTTATTTTTAAGATATTTCAGTTGCTAAGCAAATAATTATAATCTCTTTTATTTGTTATATTAAAGCTAAACACCTAAAATTGGCGATTCCGCTGAATACAAGTTTTTAATGTTGTACTTATAAATTTGTAGGACTAAGACAACACATACAGTTAAGATGTTTCTCAGTTTTATACCTATTTAAAATATTTTATTTGTATAAAATCAATTTAGTAGATACCTCTTTTTATAATTTATGTTATTTGTTTAAACAAAAGTACTTTTGATACCGATTATAAATATGCAAATGAAATTGTTAAAACAAGTAGCTTAAATTTTACAGTTATGGTATTATACTTGTAGCAGTACAACACTATTATAACATAGGTGGGTAGTCTATTAATAATTACCTACGTATTACATTCAAATTACAAGTTCCGACGCATTACATCTTATGTCTACTAAGTATACAAAGTATACTGTCACCAGTGTCACTGCGAATTAAGATGTAAGATATAAATTATATCAATACATATTAGTCCGTTCTATACTGCTGTCTATATTTGGTAGGTAATGTATTATACATAGTAATGTATATATTTTATGCATTTTGTTAATAGGAAAAAAATACTAAAATGTTGACGATAAAAATTTCTTTATTTTTTATTGAAGAATAATATGGTATCACAAAAAATTGAGTATATACAATTGAAAATAAAATCGCAAACATGCTATTAAACAAGAATTTAATACTTTTATTTTATCCAACAAGAGATTATGCCAATTCTGAGCACCTCCACGCAAAGCCTTGTCATACTGACAAATTTCATTATAGCAGGGTATTCCATGAGTATTTGCAGAAAAAACCAATTTACGTTAGACTGTGGCATGTTTTCACGCTGGACTAAGTATACCTATATAGTATATATATTATAATTTTTAAAATATTTATATCGAATGTACTATTATACTTCACTACCCTATTTCAGAAATATTTTTTATTTATTTATGTTTTTACGAAAGGACCTATTTTATTAGTTAAATGAAGTAGAAGACAAATACCTAACCCCGGATGCAAGTTTTTTAATAACGCGTAAAATTTTATAATATACACTTACCTATGTATGTTTATTACAAATACATTTTCATTTAGATTTATTTTAAAGTGAGAAAAAATACCTGATCCATGGCTAACATAATATAGGTATGAATATAAGAAATTATTTTTTTTAGATCTTTGAAGAACAAATGAATAAACTGAAAGAGATATATTCTAGTATTTTGGATGAAGATGCAAACTTGAACACCAATAATATTCAATGAGTTTACCACTCGAATAAAGACATTGCCAATAGGTAATGAATTTAAAACGTCTTGTGTAGAGTTCTGTATTTTAATAATAATATACATATATTTAATTGTTATACATCCTAAATTGATAGTTAAAATTGTTTTAAATTTATAATGCAGTATTATTAGGTAAACACTAATGTTTTGTTTTAGCTGTCGTTTGTCAGCAATCTTAAATAATATTTTGATAGCCTCTGCCATAATATATTCATGTAGAAATATTAATTATTAATAGCCATATATAGGTTTTAGATAGCTAATTATATCTTATATATAATTTATAGTAATACGCCCATACAGATAACTTAATATACTTATTATATCTCTAATGTAGTAATGTATACTTTTATACTTATGTAATTAAATATCCATATTTTACGAGTAGTTAAGCTTAAGTATTCTTAATTGTTTTTTGTTAACTATTTATACCTAAGCTTAAAAAAAATTACATATTCATGTTGGGTAACAATCATTTTAATAGTTAGAGCTCAGAAGTTCTAGCAAATACATATTTTTTTTTTTGTTAGTCATAGAATATCAAAAGTAAAATATAAATTTATTTCACTTTTTTGATGTATAAGAAATTTAATTTTACTAATTTATGCATATTTACGGTTTTTAGTGCTATTTTATAATTTAGAATTAATTGCTATTTATAGGTATTTTTATTTTTTTTTTTTTTTTTTATGGTGAATGAAATAAACAAAGAACTTTAATAAGGTATTTAAATACGTGAACGATAACACATATTTTGATTTGAAAATAGTATAGGTACGTTTTGTTATCGATAGTTTGTCATCTATGTTCTGTAATATCGGACAATGTATTAATTATTATCGGATTTGTCGTAATTATATTCCAGAGCTAATCAATAATTCCTAAATACATATACTACTATATTATTCTAAAAAAAAATATAAAATTTGTGTTATTGAAAAAATTTAAAAATTCTGCGGAAAATTTTATTTTGTGAATTTAGTGAATTTTTTTACGCTTATTTTGATGTTTTTAAGTGCATATATAGCGCTAAAATGCACTTTTTTATTAGTGTTATAACTTCCTAGCCCTGGACATCAATAATTAGTATTTTAATAATGCAGCTATAGGTTATACAATTTATTTTTTATATAGTCATATAGGTAGGTAGGTCTACTAATCTATACACTACCTCTATGAATATTTTGAATTTATTCTTACAAACTATGTGACATTGTGAAGCATTCACAAAAATATTTATTTTAAATTATAAATAATAATTAATTAATAAAATTCATGATTCCTAGAATGAGGCAAATTGTATTTTAAAAATAAATAGTGCGCTAATCAGTACTCATGATAAATACTTTTATTTATAAACAGATGTATTTAATATTTATAATCCCGTTAAGTTATCTCACGGACTGTGAGCTTACGGAATTTGAAATTTATTGTCACGGATCACAAAAATCTGGAAAGTAACTAACCGTATAGTTTTAGATTGTATTCTTCTAGCAACTAAAAAAAAGTAAACCGTATAATCTCAAACCGTAGAAATCCAGAAAAAATAAACACATAAACCGTATTGTTATGGACCATATACTCTTACTCCTGAAGGCTGAAACTTTAAATTTTAAGTGACACCAATAGCGTTTTATTAATTTTTTTGGGAACAGCCATTGTGCCAAATTTGTAAGATTGGGTGATAAATAATTATGTGTGTAATTTTTTACTAAGACGAAATAGAACAAAGATATATCTAATATTGTAATATTATAACTATACCATATTTAATTTTATTTAAAAGTGTAATGACGTAAAAATAAGAGAAGAAAATAAAAAATAAAAATAGAAAAAAATGGCTAAAACTTAAATAATAGGACCAAGATCTGGGTGATGTTTCTCTACACGTATAAGTGCTTAAGAATATAATTACCTATTAGATACAGCTATTGCATTTGTCCTATTACTTTCCTTATGATCTTCGAAGGATTTTCGAAGTTGTGGATTCGAGTATATAATTATCATACATCTTATCTGGCTAACATGTATATATATTGTGCTGTAAATTGTAATATATTAAGGCAACACAAATAAAGAATTCTTTGATACGTGAATCCTAATAAATACAATAGTAATTTAGCTTGATAAAAAAATAGGTCCAGTTGTCGTTCGTAGGATCCGATGTTGAGAGATGTTGTTGATATGATTGGTGAGCATACAATAATAAAAAGGCGACACGGTCATATCGATTTAAATAGCTGGTGGCTTTATCAAAGGTCTCTGCAACTTTTCCAAGAAATTAGTTATATCCTTGGAGGTAGAAACCTTTAATCGGCCATCCCTAATTTTTAAGCTATTGTAGCATATCATTACAAGAATTTAACGAAGAAGAATATTGGAATACGTCATAATTTATATCAGTTTAAAATTATTATAACTACTACCTACAAACACATATATTTTATAAACATGTCCCATTGTTCTGTGATGAACATAGACGTATGTAAGTGTCTGATTTCTAAATTTGATCCTTAACCTTCCCCCTTAGTATAATATAAGCAAAAAAAAAAAAAAAATTACAGATAATTTTAGACTTTTTTAAATAAAAAAAAACTTTATAATATTTTATATTTTTCTCTATTTTGAATATTTATATGATTAAATGGTTGAAACAAAAATTTTAAATCACCTTATGATCTATATATAAAAGACAATTCAAACAACAATCATTAATAACAAAAAATGTATGTCTCCAATCTCCATGAATAATGTTTTTGAACTATTATAATAAAATAATGAATTTTATTTAAAAAAATAGATCAAGTATGTAATTTCGTCAAAATTTTAAATTAAAATGTCTTTAAAAAAATAATTGTGCTTAAATATTTTTTTTGAACTTAGTGTGTTACTTAAATAACTTTTTATCTAAAACATTTTGCAGAAAGTTTTGTTACATTCGTGATTACAATAAATGTTATCAAAATTTGAATTTCAAATAGTTATAAAAATACATTTTACATGTACAAAGGTACATTTTAAACATTTTTTTAAAGCTTTAAGAACAGCTTATGTGAAATCTTGAATTAATTTTTTTTTTTAAGCTTTTTTATCAAACAAAAATACTTTTATTGACATATACGGAAATAAAACTAAAAAGATATTGAAAATGTTTATAAATTACTCAAAAAGAGTAAAATTATTTTGAAAATGTTATTATGTATAAAAAAATAATAATATAAACGTATTGTAGAAATTTACAGTACCAATGGTTATTTTTTTTAATTACAACGAAAAATACAAAATTTATTTTGTAAAATACCTACCTACTGATTTTACCTAAAAATTCCATTTTCTGTATTATTTTTAAATTTTTCGGATTTATCATTATTAACTACCTAAATATAAACTAGATCGAATTTTCTATCTACACCAGAAATCATCTTAAAAATTTGAGAAATACACCATTTTTTTTTCATAGTTATAAAATCAATACGTCTGATGAATAATCTATACTCATAATTTATCACCTAGCTATATAAATCTAAAACAGTTTTGAACAGATTGTACGGACATTAACAACTAGAAACTGTAAAATATTAACATACCTATAATCTATACAGTAATTATAAGGTAACTAATAATTTTTGTGATTGAAACTATATTAAAACGTGTTGTATAACGAAATAAAATTGTACGCTACGCGCCTACGCTGCCTAGCAGCTAGATATCATAATAATATTACCTCCATAGCTCTAACGATACCTACCTACACAGTATTATAACCTCTTTGACTATATGTACTTTCGGAATAAAAGAAACAATGAATAAATATGAATCTGATAAAACTACGCGATTTAGAATTCTGTTTTACGCGATAACGTAGAAAAATAATAGTAATTATGATAACATGATAAGTGGAATAGGCGAATCGTGAATTCTGCCACTTTACCTACTTACCATCAACTGAATAATTTATGTCCGTTCTATTAAATTACGTGTACGATACTCGTTTACGACGTCGAAGTTTACAGCCTTGTAAAGGGTTTTAAATTCACTTCGTTGTCTTTGACTTATTTTTGTGAAGTCTAAAAAGATAATAAATACCATATTCAATTGCCTATTGATAGGTACTTACCTACCAAACGATGGAAGTCTGCACCAACGAGAACGGAAACTGTGCGGTTGCTAGTGAAGATTTATCGTGGGCATTACAAATTGGCGATCTTGACACGGTCAAGGAACAGTTGCAGAGACTTGCTAAAGAAAATCGGGTAATTAATTTTAGTTCTTGTCGGAGATTGGATTTATTTCTTGACTAACATTAATGTAATTATGTTGTATACCTACATTTATAAACAGTGCATCACCGTTGATGATATCCCTGTAGCGATTAAAGACATACCTATTTTTTAAGTATTATAATTTGAATGAAAGCTATTTTCATTTTTTTAAAGTTTTTACTTAGTAGGTAGGTACTTTTTCTTTGAAATAGGTATACTACTTCAATTAAGAATTTTACATTAGATTTTCTGTGTTTTTAACATTTACTAGTTCAGTAGTTCATAATCCCTACTTAAAATGTTTACATATGCAGTGGCGGCGTGAACGGGGTTAATTTTATGCAGCGTGTCACAAAATAAATGGTGGGTAGGTGTTGAAAGTTGACGTTTGTAGTTGAGTAGAAGTTAGGTACTTATTTTAGTATCATCGATTAAATATAAAATACACTTACAATAGGTAATCAATAGTGAATAGAACAATAGATGCTAAAAATTCTATAAAGCTGCAGCAAACTAAGTTATAGCTATTAATATTAAATATAGTTCCAGATTACATGTTCATCAGAACTATTTTTAGTATTTTATATTTTTTTAATATATTGGTGTTAACATAAAACGTAGGTAGGTGTTGAACATTTTTTACTGCGTCATTGATATAATAAATTCAAGCTGCCACTACACATAATATGCATGTTAACTGTGTGATAGGTAGTCAAGATATCTCACTTTTATTATGTCACATTATTGATTTTTTATGAACATATTTTAGCAAAAAAAATTCTCAAAGTATATAAGTCATTAGCTGATTTATTAAAATCTATATTAGGTAGGCACCTATTGTATAATTAAAGTAGTGTCTAAATAGAATAAATAGTGTCCAAACTCCAAAATGAATGATTTGATCAATGCAATAAAATAAATTATAATATAATAATTTATGAGTATATTTTTTTTATTTTATATATTATATAAATTTACTTATACTTATTAAATCAAGTAAATCTGAATTGTTGTAAAGCTATGTTAAATGTCATAAATAGGTAACATTTTAAATTAATATGCAAACAATAACCTTAAATTCAAATTGTAACATTCTTACTAGAAATATACTTATTATTAATATTTTCAATTTAGCTATCACTATGTAAAGGAGTTTTTAAAAAATTAAAATTAAACCCATTCATTGTATGAAATTTAAATCTGTATTTTTTACTGATACATTATTTAATTTAGTATTATAAAAGATTTCATCTTTAAATATTACAAAATTATAAGTTATTAATTATCCTTTAAAATCTTTTATTTAAATCAAATAATTTTGAATCATTTTTATACCATACATATTATTTAGATTATAAATTTAAAATATCTATTGTAAAAATCAATATAATTAGATATTTTAATACATAACTACTAACTTTATCAAAACAAATAGCTTCATTACAGATTACACACAAAATTATAATTCCATTTATTGTTAAAAAGACAGCATTCTTTATCAATTTTTCATCTTTTATTTGATCTCATATTTAAACTTGGAAAACAGCATATTCATAACAAATATGAATAATTATATAACTATGATTTCACAAGCTTATAAATATTTTAAATTTATATTTGATACTTTAGGACTGGAATATAAACAATGTGTCAAATGGAAGAACTATGTTACATAAAGCTTGTGATTACGGCCATTTGGATATTGTTGAATATTTAATTCAAAATGGTGCTGATATAAATGTAAGTTTTTGTTAATTTAGTGAAATTTATCCATATTGTTACTATTTTTCAATGTAAAAGCTCTTATTTTTCATAAAATCAAATGTATTATGCTAATGTATTATGTATTAGATTACAATTCTATGATATAGTTTTATTTTTTTACAATGACCAAAGATTTTAAACATCTGAATTTAAAAATAATTTGGTTAAATATTCTAACTAATATATATGGCTTTAATTTAATGTGCAATCTACAAGTCCTTTGTCATGACTAATAACTATGTAGATCATGCACTATAACAAAAATTTTGCTGAAGTCTTACATTTATTGAGTAGGTAGATGATATTGAAATTTGATATACATTTTTTGTACATTTGTACAACCAAATTAATCTATACATTTTATCGAAGAAAAGACTTAATTGAATTACATGTTAAAAATGTATAAACTATGTGGATTTGATTATACTAATCATTAATATATAAATACAAATCTAACAAAAATAAAATCTATTATTATAGATACATTATTAAAGTGTATTTATTTTTTAGATGAAGGACAACTTTGGCATTACTCCATTACTGTGTGCTCTTTGGGAAAATCATTTCAAAGTTGCTAAGTATTTAATTGATAAAGTAAGTTTCAATATGATAATATCTTTAATTGGGTTTCAATTTATAAATTAAAATTTTTTTCAGGGAGCAATTACAAATTTATTAACACCCCAAGGATTGAAATATTATGAATGCATTGAAGATTCTGAGATGATTAACTTATTAAAACGATTAGAAACTCAATAGTTAATTTTATCTCTTTAATTCAAAAATTTATTAATTGAATTATCTATCAAAATCTAAACGTACCTTTTTAATATTATTCACATACTATTTGGGATAATTAAACAATATAACTAATTACACTCCAAAATTCCTTTTATTTAAAATAATTTTTTTTTAAGATAGTTATCATTGTTATTATCTATTAGTTATATAACATTTCACATTTATTTATCTACTAGCCTTATAAATTAATATTCTAGATTCATGAGTGAAACAATTATAAAATAATGACTGGAGATATAATATTTATAAACACTTGTTCCTATAGTAAATTGTTGGTGGAATAATTTGACAATAAGTGATTAAGTTTTCATTGTTTTTATTATAATTATTATTGTTTGTCAATAAATTAATGAATGATCAATAAAATTAATACAACTAATACTTTTTGTGGAGTTTGAAACAGTTTTATAAGTATATTAATATTAAAATTAATTTATTAGCCTGTTTAGAGATTAAACATACACTTTTATATTAATAATAACTATGTTAATCATTTTGAACTAATAAAATAATATAATCAAATTATTATTGTTATAATCAATTGCTTAATTGTATTTTATTTATGTTTAAGTTTAAATTAAATATTTTTTTCAGCAGTTTGTTTGTTATGATGAATATTTGATAATCCATATGAGATATTATGCTTGTTTAAAGAAATTATTTATTCTTTGCCTGTTAAAGTTTTGATGATATAATATAAAATACAAACATTAAAGTTGTAAGCATAATTTGAAATACATAATATCTTTTATATGGATACAATTTGTGATTGAAACTTAATAGTGAACGAATTAACAATTATTGTTGGAATTGTATGTTATATTGCTATATTATTTATTTGTTTATTTATTATAAGCATTATTATTATTATTACAATTCAGGTGAATATTGCTTAGTATTAGTCTTTAGAAGCACTTTTATAATACATTTATCCTATTGTATTTTTTTTTTATTATTATTATTATTATTATTACTATTAGTATCATTAGGTACATCATTCTACGCTATTTAATTTTTAAATACAATATCTTTTATCTATTTATTTTATCAAAATATTTTTGAGTATTTTATATTTGCTTTAATTTCTAAACGTGTATTATTATTTTCTTTTTTCTTTTTTACACATTTGTTTAATTTATAATTAATGTACCTTTAATCATATTGTAGTAATGTAACTCTATTTCGATTACCAATTTTTAGTTATGTTTTAAATCATCTCTTACAGAAATATAAAATCATTTTTATTATATCTTAATTCACACAATTCTATTGCTATTACACAGTTAACATATTTCCAATTATTAATATTATCATTTAGAGAATATTTGTATACTAAAGCATTGTTTAATTAATATAACTATGGTTTTTTAGCTATAACTTTATAACATTCACATGCGCATCTAAAAACTTAATTTATAAAAATAAATTTATTACCTTATAAACTACATAATCTTTATACTGTTGTAAATTATATTTTTCGATTTACTAATTTCTCTGTGCGTTCTACTGTCAGGTACATAATATTTATTATTTTATGATAATTCCTACTTCCTAGGAGGTTCACTAAAAAATATTGAAAATTAGTTTATAAAGATCAATTAAGATTAAGAATAAATTCAAACTAATAAAATATATTTCTAAATTTAATTTAAAAATATTGCAAACATTTTTAATACCAACAAACTAATTAAGGTTGTATTTAGAATAAGAAATGAAATTTTTAAATTGCATAAATTTTAGAAAGTTTCAATAGATAATGTATTTTATAATACATTTCTGCGTTGATTGGTGTCACTCTATGCCAGGGATGGCAAATAGAATTTTTACAACGTGCCAATTAATGACATAATTCAAAAAAAAGTTTCAGCCGTACCATAATTATTTTTATTAACACAGAAAAATACAAATGAAAAAATACTAAAGATAAGATAACAATACGTCGTTGTGAAACATATATAATTAATACGTGCAATTGATAATTAAATTTATTGTATGTTACTAAATCTATAAATATATATGGACAAATGAAAGTTTTTCGAGTACCTACATCAAAAATCTCATGCGTGTCAACCTTGGCACGCGTGCCACTTATTTGCCATCTCTGCTCTATACTATCAATATGATTATTGGTCTGGACAAGTGTTACGGTCAGATAAGCTTTATCTACAAATTAAAAATGTCCGACAATTTTCTTTGTCCCTCAGCTGAAAATTAAATTTTAGTTGAATATATTCAACACAACAGAGAAACATGTGACAGTTCTCATCCTAAACATAAGGATTTTGGTACATTTTAAAGAAAAATTTTGAATCATTTTCAGAAAAAGTTAGTAGAACAGATACGTAAACATATAGATACTAATTAATCAAACATGTTTTTAACAAAGTGTGCATTAAAACACTATTTTAAAATTTGCGAATAAATCAGATCCAATAGGTAACAAAAATGACAGCCTCTATAGACGCACGTATAGAAATCGAGCGAACGCTACAGGGATAATAATGTAGGTACCATGGTATTCTAGTAGTTATCAATCATCTTTTCTATAGACATTGCGTATAACTACAATTATAAAGGATATTGAAAAACAAAAGAAAATGTGTTAATTTATGTTTGACCGGATTCGTTAATTATAATTAATACCATTTTAAATAAAAATAATTATTCGAATTTTTAATTTTTTTAAATTTTAGATATAATAACGTTCATATCATCGTACAATAACTAATACTCGCTAGTCACTAGTCAGTAAAGGCGTATGACTTGTATGAGTGATCAAAAAGGTGACAAGTGATGGATACCAGTATACCACTCTGGTGCTCTACTATATAAGACAGTAGGTATCGAGTCGTCGAGTAGATTACTCTAATTATAGTTTAATAAATGTATCAAATTTGAATCCAATGATGTATTATTATATAAGTACGTAAAACGATTCTGAGTGGAAACGGCCATCGACCTATATCATTAAGTGATAATGTGTTTTTGGTATAGCTATTAAAGTTATTTATTTTACTTTTTATATTATAGTAAGTTAACATAATTTTCTCCGAATATATCTCATTTATTATATTATAAGTACTTAATTATTACAATGATTTATATTTATACCATAATATTATAACAATTTATATAACATCTTTCTGTAAATACTGTAAAAGAGTAAAAGTCGATTCCCAGTACCCATAAATAGATAATATTTAAAATAATTCAATAATGTTATTGCGTACCTATAGTAAAATTCATAAAAATATAAAATACATAAAAGTTTAAGTTCCCACAAGCAATGTTTTCAAATTATAACAAAATAATTAACAAATCGTTATTTTTTAAATAGATAATTTCGTCCAGATTGAAATTTAAAATAAGGTCTATAAAAAATAATTGTCTTTATACGTACCTAGATTAGGTTAGGTATTTGATATTTAAGATGTTATAGTTCCGACATGAATAAATCTACTTACTTGTGAGAAATTTTGTATTAAATTTTCAAAACTTGGATGCAAAAAGAAAAGTTTTTATAAACTTAACTACAAAATAGTTTGCAATTTTTTGCGAAAAAAATTGTGCCAATGTATTTTTAATATTTTCATACAAATGTAAGGATATATTTTGTGGGATATTGTATTAAATTCTCAAACATTTTTACATACGAGTATTTAAACTTAACAAATAATTTTTAATTGACATCTATAAAAAAAAAATTGAAAATTTTATCGTAAATGGAAAACAAATTATCGTATTTGTGTAAACGTAAATCGTCTGATACTAGTTAAATGTTTTCATACCTATTTATTTGACTATTCTCGATAATACTTTAATCGGTTTTTTTTTTTTTTTAATAAAAATATTTGTTTAACATACATCTTGATGTTTTTTGGTGATTAAAAATTTTCGTTTTTCAGCACCACTTTTAAATTGTTGATATTTATTGCGTAATCGACCACTCGTTATATTATTATGACAGACCTAATGTTAATGAGAAACAGACACATACTAAAAACTACTAGGTAGGTATTACCGTTGATTTTAGAACTTACCTATTCTAAAATCAATGGTATTACTTATAAAGTCGGTTTACCAATTACTTTCTCAATAAATATTATTATCCATGTTTTTCTTTAAAATATGACGTCTAAAATATTATTTTGACAATTATTAATATCGTTTAACATATTGTTATTTTTAACTAATATGTACGGGGCCGTCGAGCGTTTTTCGGTTAGTTAATTTACAAGTAATTTTTATATATTTAAAAAATATTTCACATTCAAACACAAACATGTATTCAACCGAAAAATTAATAACTAAGGTTCTAAAAACTATCTGCGTATTTAGGGTATGACCTCAAATGATTATATGAATATAGAGACCTAAAAAACTCATCTTGGTTGAAAACTGCCGAAGCGCCCGAAGCAGTATATTGTTTGGCATAGAATAACTTAGAAACTGCTAAAAAATAAAAATAAAAGTAAGACAATTATTTAATCATTATTATGATTATCAATAAGTTAAATGGGTATAAATAAATAAATAAAATAAAAGTATTAAAAAAAAAACAGTAAAAGTAAGTACCTACCCAAATAAATATAATGATAGACAGTAGATATAACCTATGTATTTTTTTATACGATTATACGCATATATTATAGGTACCTACTTATAAGTTAAAAATTATAATAATTATTATGCAAAATAATTACTATTTGAATATTTGATGCATAATATAATTTATAAAATTAAATTAAAAGATAAGTACTTACAAAAAAATAAATATTAATAAGTAATTTTATATTAAATTAAACTCATACGTTTTTTTAAATCTAAAGCATTCCGTATTGGAAATTATCCGTTTTCCATGCTATAAAATAATCAGCGATATGGTCTCATAAGTCTTTTCACTTCTATTGACAATTCTTCTATGTGTTGTCAAATTATTCAAATTATGCACATCAATTTCTTTAATTTAGTAATACCCATCTCTCTTGCGA